GCGTAAAAATGGGAATTATTTATATACAAACATATCGAAAAATAAAAATTTACGCTTATCTTCACCGTTTTTTTTAAAGTTTCTATTACATGGTAATAAAAATTGATATAAAAAAGGCAAAGTGTACGAGGGTTTGTATTGAGGTATCGGGTAGCAGTCTGGTGTTATTTCGGCGTTAAGCCTTCGGTAATCACCGGTTGGACGCCAGTCGTTGCTATCCTTTTTGGGAACCATGTGCAATGGCGATGCCCAATGACTGTTTGACGGCCTGATAATGCCCAGTTCGAGCATGTGGTCGAATTCATTTTTCGCCGTTTGGAGCTTATCGGGGGCTAACGGCGCGCTTTGGATGCCACAGGTGGACCTGTGGTTGTGACGTGATGCATAACATCGCTGGTTATACACAGAAGAGTGTGCTTTGGTTGCTGTAACTCTGGATATTTTTCCAGAACTGCCTGGTAGGACGTGTCGCCTGATTGTTTAGTCCTAACGATGGCTAAACTCGGACCTACATAGGTGGTGCCGCCAATAGATAACTTTGTGCTGTTATCTATCAGTCGTCAACGGCGAGCATCTACGAGTAGATTGTAATGGTTTAGCAAATCTATGCCAATGATGGGCATAGGGACGTCAGCAAGGAGGAAAATCCAGTGAATAGGTTTGCGTAAACCCAAGTTGAGGTAGGCATACTGTCTCCCGAATGTCGCGATTGCCTTGCCGTTGGCTGCTTAGAGATTGAAGGACGGGTCATGATGACGCTCCTTTGTCGCTGCTGGAAGAATGCTAACTTCTGCGCCGGTGTCGACGAGGTAGCGGACTTTCGTTTTAACGTCGGTGACGTAGAGCAAACGGCTTTTTCTGCCGGCTACGGTTGCCGTGAACACGTGCCGGCGTGACCGTTTCCCGAGTTTGGATCCTTCTTAAAACGGCATGGCTTCATCCCTGTAAGTGTTATGAAACCAGCACCATTCAGGGTTTTCCACCCTGTTGGGTTTCGTTTTAGGGCTACCACATGACTTGCTTCCATGCACCAAGGTGCGTTTCCGTGAAGTGCTACGTGATCTGGGACTTCGAGATCGTAGCAACTGTTCACAGAGTTGCACAGCTTTGTCACCTCTGGATCCTGGCGCTCTGTTTTGTCGCAGATAGAATATACGTTAGAGACGGTCTGCTGGATATCTCCAGTATTTTATCTGCTGGGACTACCAGGTCGTCAAGTGGGACTGACTGGAGTGTCACCAACACGGTTTGCACCGGTTGTGGTAGTTTCGAGAGAAATAGTTCTCGGAATAAACCATCGTCAAATGTTCGTGCACCGATTACTTCACGCATGCATGCGAGGACTTCAGTAGCTGAGTGGCTGCCTAGCTCGATGTTACGAAGCAATTCGTCTAGACGTTGGCGATCTGTGAGATCGCTTTTCTTCAAGAGTGCGGCCTTTAGAAGTGCATAAGGGTTACTTACTTCAGGATTAAACATGTTTGCTGTAACATACCTGTTTAATTCTCGCGGTAGTGACGTATGACAGCAAGAAATCGAGAATAAGGATCTGAGACACCCTGTTCTCGAAAATCGGCTTCGGCATACAGAAACCATGTTTCTGCATTGTCTGGCCAATATGGCACGAGTTGGATTGTGTTCGTAGTCGGCTTAATACGAATAAGCTTGGGAGTGTGGTCGGACATGAGAAAGTGCAGTAAATGGATATATAAATGTTATCGAAGTGAAAACAACAAACAAATATAGAATGGAACAGGCTCACCGATCCAATATTTGTTATTGGTAGGGATATGTGATCACGTCGGGCTCACCAATTTAGGATTTGTACTGGTGCGAACTTGACAGACGCAAAGACCAATCACTAATTATTCGAACTTGTTATATACCCACGAATACGAGACCAAGGAAGAACACGATAGCGTAGTTGGATGGAATAGTATATTTGGATGGTTATGCCAAAATACCGATGCGTTCCAACTAACTGGCTAGAGAGTCGAATACGAGCAGTGCAACGTAACACGACAGCGTGCCAAATTGCGAGGATGCTTGACCGGGTGCCTTCAGTTTAGTGAGTCCAGTTAAACTATCAAGGTCAGCATCAATGTCGAAAGTCGTCAAACCCTAGGCTATTGATTTTGGGGAAGTGTATGACGCTACAGATTAATTCTGCTGAGAATACTTGTTGTATTGGATGAAAATAGATGTTGAAACAGTCAACTGTCCAAGTGGCAGTATTTATACATAGACTTCGGGTATCTTTTGTATTGGCATAGGCAGCATCATTCGAGAAGTGTATTTGATGCGCAGTAAGTTTCAGATGAATAGGTCTCTTGGTACCGAGTACTAGAAGATGTTTAGTGTGGAACCATCGCAGGCAAGTGCCGTCCTGAGCCAATATGTTAATTGGTCTCTGGCTCAATCATCTGTTCAGAATGTCTCTGCTACTAATACTGTTGGCAATGGTCAGACAGTTCATTGCAAGTAAAATCATGACCAGTAGGTGAGCTAATCTTGAAGATTGTCCAGAATTTGCGAAAGGGTGGGGGCAGTCGATAATTATTGGCGCCAACCAGCAGGTGTAATTCCCATAAAGTAATCAGGTTCAGACTGAATTTGAGCATCAAATGTTGACTTGCAGCTGTTTCTGCAAACGGAGAAAGAAAGAAGAGGCACGTGCAGATGTGGAAGGGAAGATTACTACGCTATCAAATTCGAAGAAGAAAGAAGCCTCTATTCTTTTCTAATTATTCGGACTTTATGTACATTATCATGTACATGTGTGAAGTCAGCTACACAGACCTTTCATTATAAGGTTCTTAAGTCGTTTTTTTGGGGGTGGGGTGGGGGGTGTAACGTAGTGTCTTTGAGAGATAAACAGTATTCTTTAAGTTCATTATACGGAGAGGAGCCAGTATTCACACCCTTGTATGCAATCGTGAGGCCATCTGTGTTAAAGGAACTGGAGGGCTTCAATGGAACCGATTCTTACATTTAGAGGTCTGAGTACGTTCACAGTAGACACAAAGGCTTGACCATTGTTATGTGCCGATTGCTCCATTATGCTTCGTATTTGTGGATATAATATGAATGTCAAGAAATTTATAGATATCCGTGAAAAGAAAGAATTCGTTGAGTAGACGTCGAAACTGAAATGCAGACATGCAAGAGCGAACGAAAAGTGGAAGCTTATTCCATAACTTGCTGTACTGTAACATAAAGGATCGTGACCTAAGTTTAAGGCGGTGCTTTTCTACAGGTACAGTGCATTCACGATTGCGTAGACTATATGAAGATACAGGCTTAAAAGTAGGAGCGCAACAGGCGTGAGTAATGCCATGCGAAAGGCGGAAAAATAGGCTAAGGTTGAGCTTAAGGCATCTTAGCCAAAGTGGGTCAATTTTTAGTTTCTTACACCTTCCCTCATAATCAAGTTCTTCGTGACGGCCCAGTACATAGCGGGTAAACTTTCTTTGAACATTCTCAATTAGTATCCTATCCGAAGCATACATATTGCTGAAGATGATTGTGCCATATTCAAGTACTGGGTGGATCATTACCTTGAATAAAAGCAGTCTGGCCTCAGTGGTATGTACGTGTTTAAGCAAAAGGCCAACTGAGCGCCTACACTTGGAGGCAAGTGACTGGGCATATTCCGTAAACGTTAAGTTCCGAGAATACCTAATACCTAAATCACATACTGAGTTACAAGATTGTAGCACAGAATCGCCAAGGTGTAAACTGACGTTTGGATAAGAGTTATTGAAACAGAGAATTCCGCATTTACTAGAGTTAAGTGGAAGTTGCCATGTTTCACTCCAAGCGAACAAACTCTTCAGGTCTTCCTGGATTCTATTAAAACCCTCACTTAGCGATGAGTGGGGAAAGCTATACACGATTTTTAAGTCGTCAGCAAACAGGTAGGGTTTACCATATTTTATCATGTTAGAAATATCATTTATGTAAAGGAGGAAGAGTAAGGGCCCCAACACTACCTTGAATGACGCCACTCAGAATAGGCTGTGGGGAGGAATAGGTTTGACTGAACTTTACTATTTGAGTACGCTGCCTAAGGAATGAGCTTATCCACGATAATAGAGGGTCACTAATTCCAAATGATTGAAGCTTAAGAATTAACCGATTATGAGGCACTTTATCAAATGTTTTTTGAAGTCAAAAATAGAGCAGTTACGAAAAGACCTTCATCTCGTCTGCAGGTGACCTCCTCAAAATAATCCAGTAAGCAAGTACTACATGAACGACCTTTTAAGAAACCATGCTGCATAGGGGAAAGTAGCTGATGCGCAGCCACGTAATCATTGATTTCTTGCACAACCACCTTCTCCATGATACGAGAGACTACAGATGTAATATTTATGGGACGATAATTCTGGATTTCTGGCGTCAACCCAGATTTATATGTGGGGGATATGTATGACAGCTTCCAGCGGTCAGGGTAGCATGCCTCGGTAAGGGATGTTGTGAATAGCTTCATGAGGATCA